ATAATAAATTAATGTTAGTTTTAATAGTCGCTAAAACCATCTGCAATTTACAGAGAAGGTAACTAAATTTCAGCATCCGGAAGTAACTTCCTGAAGGCCATGTAGTTAGTAAATGGCAGATGCCAAGATTCAATCCAGCCTTTCTGTGGATTTTTCCAGAATACTAGGCTACTTCTTCAAGCAGTGAACACAAACTGTGTCATTTGTGATGCAGTCACTGTGCTTGCTAAAGGATCCTGGCAGGTGAGCTCACTTTCTGCAGGGCTGACTAGGGAGGCTGCAACTTGAAGGAGGGATCACAGTCAGAGAAAGAAAAGGGAATGACATGAACAAAAATGTGAAAATAAACAAAAGTATGACCTAGAAGTACTGTCTGCTGGCTACTTTACCCTATTTCTTGTTGAGTACAATACAGTTTGGATAGAAAAAAGAAGGAAATCAATCATAAGAGATAGATGAGAGCCACGACATGGAGACTGTTAATTCTAGTCTTAGAAATTTGGACTTGAGTCTGGCATGGTGGGTCACGCACAAAATCCCTGCTCCTTGGGAGGCTGAGAAGAAAGGATTGTTTAAGGCCAGGAGTTCGAGACTAGCCTGAGCAACATAGGAAGACCCTTTCTCTAAAAAAATTAAAAAATCAGCCGTGCATGGTGGCACATGTTCGTAGTCCCAGCTACTCAAGAGGCTGAGGTGGGAGGGTCATTTGAGCCCAGGAGATCAAGATTGTAGTGAGCTATGATCACAGCACTGCACACCAGCCTGGGTGACAAAGCAAGATCCTGTCTCTATTAAACATAAAATAAATAAAAGAAAAACGGCTAAAACAGGAATTTTTGTTTAATTTGGTAGATACCAGAGAGTCAATAAAAAAATTTCAACAAGATTTTGCTTTAGGAAGAATCTTCTTGTGGCATGTCTTAGGTAGTTTTCCCTAGAATGAGATGCTGAGAAGTGAGTTCTTGAGTTCTCTCAAGTGAAACCTATAAAAGAATGAGGCAACCAGGAGAAGACAAGAAAAGAAGCGCATAAACACCCAACACTCAGCAACTGAAGGATAGGTCACACCGCCCTAGTGGAGGGAAACTGGGCAGGTACCAATCATGTCTACTATGTGGCATTTTGAAGGATGAACTGGAATCATGGGAGCTTGAAGAACCACATACAGATATAAAAGGTACTACCATTTGAACTTGGATAGTGGCTGTGTGGGCAGAATGATGACTTCCCAGAGATGTTCATGTCCTAATACCCGAAATCTGTGAATATGTTCCATTACAAATGAATGAATATTTACATTTCTATATGTAATTAGTTACATAATTACATTTGCATAAATATGCAAAGGGACTTTGCATGATTAAGATTAAAGATCTGGAGATAGAGAGATTATCTGCATTAGCCAGGTGGCCTCAAGCTAACATGATTCCATAAATAGGGAGAGTTGTTCCTGGCTGAAGTTAGAGACAGAAAGATGTTGCTGGTTTTGAAGGCATAACAAGGGGGCCACATACTAGAGGAATACAAGCAGCCCTAGAAGCTGGAAAAGATGAAGAAACAGATTTCCCCTGTAATGGAAAGAAAGCAGCCCTGATTGCACCTTGACTTCGTTTAGCTCAGGGAAACTCATGTTCAACTTTGAAACTACAGAGCTGTAAGATAATAAATTTGTGTTGTTTTAAGGTGTCACAGCAGCAACAGAAAGCCAATACAGTAGTCATATAAGAGAAAGAAAAAGGTTAATGACTAAGGAATTGGTAAGAGTTCCCACAACTTAAAAAAAAAAAAAACTTAAAAAAAAAAGTTAACCTGTTTCATTTTATTTCTTTATTTTAAATAGAATTAGTGATTCTTATTACCTTTCTCCGAGTTCACAAAGTAATGTAAAAGGCCATGAAAAAATGATTTCAATGAAATTATAACTGAATTAGAAAATGATGGTTAAAAAATTCCATATTTTATAAAGGTTAAGAAAAACATATATTTAGTGAATCCCCAAAATTGTTAAGAGTAAAAGGAAGAAGCTGTATTTACTACTACATTAAAGACATATGTACCAGGTGAATACTAACTGCAAACCATTCCGATTGGCTGTTTTTCAGTGGCTGCCTCCCTGAGATTCATTTTCTTATTCAGGAAAATTCAGGACTGTGAGCTTCATGGTCACCAGAGGGTGCTATGGGACAGGCTCTCCCACTCCTCCAAGGGTGATTGCCAGACAGGCAAAGAATGGTCGCAATGCCTCTGGAAGCCTGTGACTCTTTTCTGTTATCTGGCATTCTACAAAAATCAGATGTGAAAGTGGGGTCGATTTTTTTTTTTGCACTGAAATGTTTTTTTTTTTTTAAATGAAAAGTTATTTATGACAAACTTTTGGCATCTTCCTCAATAAAAATTAAAAATAATAAATGTGCAATAAAATTTAGCAGTTTCCACAAAGTCTTCAAAAAATAGGAATATTAGGTAAGTAAATGAAAATCATCAGTGTCATACAATTTAGTTAAATGGATATTCCCCTGAGCTAGTGCTAGGAAGAGAGAGGGTGTGAGGGAGAAGGCTATGTCCTGAGGCTGACACTTAACTGAGTGTCAGGGCATCCATAATTTATCCTGTGAGGGTTATATCTGTTTCAGTTCCAAGAACAGTTAAAATTCTTTAGCTCATCAACAAAGGTGTGGACACCAAAGCCGCTGCAAGTCAGACCTCAGAAAAAAAAAGAGAAGGACAAGAGCCAAGCACAGTAACAACCCCATACAAGCTAATTTATGACTCAGGCAGCCAAGGTTTTGCAGAATTTATTACAAGGAGCAAATGAACCTAGAAATGGTGATGGTTATATCTTTGTACTTAAAATGAACATAGATCATAACAGCAAGAGGAGGAATTATTACATTTCTGCAAACTGTAAGGAAACTCATGGCATAAGAAGGAGACCAGCTGGGGTGAGACAATGACAGGCACACAGAGGGGGTCTAGAAAAGCAGAACAAAGCTGGGAAGGCATGCCTACCACTTATATACTTGCCACTGTGTATGGTCAACATGGAGTTCTGCCTGGAGTCGGTACAGATGATGATGAAACTAATTCTAAAATATTATGATGGTTTGTTTATTAAAGGAAATAGATATTTAAGAAAATACTCATAAATTATATTTTTTAGTGAGTTAGAAATACATTCTTCTGGTACAAAATTCAAAAGGTGTTATATTATATTTGGAGTAGAATAATAGCTTTATGGTTTTTGCAAAAATAATACAATTATTACATAGTAGCTTACTGTTTTAAAATGTCAGGATTTATATGATGTTATTTTTTGTAGAGGTGGAGCATCCCTAATTTGAAAATCTGAAATGCTCCAAAAGCTGAAACTTTTTGAGCATTTACATGACGTCACAAGTAGAGCATTTTATACTTGACCTCAGGTGATGAGTCACAGTGAAAACCCAGTCAAGACTTTGTTTCACGCACAAAATTACTAAGAATATTGCATAAAATTACCTCCAAGTGATGTGTATAAGATGTATATGAAACATAAATGAATTTTGTTTTAGACTTTGGTCCTAGCCCCATGATATCTCTTTATATATATATGAGTGTTCCAAAATCCAAAAAGCCACCTGAAATTCAAAACACTTCTTGCCCCAAGTATTTTGGATAAGGTGTATGCAATCTGTACAATACTTTCTATCATATATTATGTATATACCTAGTCTCCAAGCCAAATTTCAATATATTTTCTGTCTCAAAAGATATCTAGAGCAGTGTTCACCAAATATTGATGATGGCTATTTCTACATGCTTCTCTCTTTCCAGCTACACATCTGATGTTAGAGATTTTTTTCAGCCAAAACAACATATCACAACAGATTGAATGCAGAAGCAGATATGAAAATGTAGCAGTTTTTTAATTAAGCCATACATTAAAGAGATTTTCAAAATGTAAACAATGCAACTTTCTTACTAACATTTTGTTTTAGAATATAAAAGTATTTTTCCTAAAAATGTTATTTGTGTTAGGGTAATGGTTTAATCACCGCTATTTAAAAAAAAAAAAAAACCATGTAAATTTCTTATTAGTTTAAATGTTTAACGTTTAGATATCTAATATCAATATATTATCAACACAAGAATCTAATATTGAGAGATATAATCCATATAAATCAAGGCTCTTTGGGGTCCTCTCTAATTTTCAACAATGTAAAGGGTTTTTGAGACTAAAAAAATGAGAATATGAATAGTTATAAATCAAATCTCTCTCATAAGCAACAACTCATATAAACATGTTTAATAGGCAACTCAAAATAAACAATCTAAATGAGAACTCTTGATGTTATCCAAACCTGACAAATTTGATTTTTTCCTAGTTTTTCTAATTGTAGTAACTGGTACCACAATTGACCTAGTTGCTCATCTCCCAAACCTAGCAGCCCATCATTGACTGATTTGTTCCGCAATTTCCCACATCCAATCCATTAGCAAGTTCCAGTGACACAACTGTAGAAATATATTCCTAATCACACCACTTCTCATCACCATCACAACTACTACCCCACTTCAAAGCACCATCATAGTCTCTTGGCATCTTGGAAAATTAAAATAAACAAACAAAAAGCTTTATTGGTAAGGTTTCCAAAGAGGAGCTATCAAAAAATACAATGTTTTCCATATCATTATCATTTAGGTACAAATGGAATAAAATAATTTACATAATATAGTGTTATGAGTTTTTATTTTGCAATATAGTGATTCAGTGATTATAGTGATTCCATTTTCTCTAACCAAATTCTAAAGGCCTTGACTCAAAAGAGTAGGTGATACATATTTAATGGAATAGCTTTCATAAAACAATATGTATTTAACTTTCAAAGTTTTAAAATGTTAGCACCAAATAAATTATACTTGAACATTTTATATGTTTCAGAAAATTTATTTATATTGAGACAGTGGAATAAAAGGTAAGTTCTACATTTTCTTTTCACCAGATGTATAGTTCAACTTACCTTATCGAGTTCATCTGAAATTGCAATACCTGGGATTTAAAAGAGATTTATAAAAAAAAGTTTTAGAAGCAATCTTTAGTAACCTAATGTTCAAAACAAACTTTCTATTTGTAAAAGCAGTGCATTTCCTATTCTATTTTTTTCTTTTTATTAGTGCTTCAAAATAATGTGGCACATCCTTTTTACCAATGAAAACAAATTAGGAATTTAAGTCAACTATAACAGCTATGAACTTCTGAAGCAATGCAAATGATGCAACAAAAACAAAGCAGTGCCATATTCCTTGTAGGTTGTTAAAGGCAGAACAAACATGCAAATATGATTGTAGAGATATCATTTTTAGGTTATGATGACAATAAAGTATAACTTAGCCTGTTACTATTTTGCTCCTTGTTAAGAATTTAGACTCCCAGAATAATTAGATATTAAGGCAGAATGGTGGTCCAAGATGATTTATTCTAATGTCTTTATTTTGTGGATGAGGAAATAGACGAGAAAGTTTAAAGAATTTTCCCACAGTCCCTCAGATTGACAGCTCCTTGAGCCAATGCATAAATGATTCCTCCTCATAAGTTTCTTCCCCACCATCCACATATTTCTCACTGCACATCAGTCTAATTTCTGTCTTTATCCTTTCACCAAAATTATTGTAAGTCAGCAATGTAAAAAGTTTAGTCCTTAATTTCTCTGTGATGATACACTATCAATTCCTCTTTATTGAAATGCTATCCTCTCTTTTCTGTGCTCCTTTGTCTCCTTCAGAGGAATCCTCTTTTTTGTAGGCATAGGGGTCCTTTCCTGAAATGGCAAGGGCTCTTTGCTGAGCTGTCTTTTCTTCTCATTTGTTATACTTCTCTTGATAATCTACTGCATACCTTTGATATTTTTATTTCTCTATATGGCACAGCTTTACTGCCAGCACAGACTTTCTTCCTGAGCTAATTGTTGAATTCTTGTGGGCATTCCATTCTCAACTTGTCAGACTACAGACATCATCCTCCCAATTCACTCTCCATTTTATTCTTTTGAACAATGGGGCTGAACTTCAGCACTGTGGCAGGGCACTGGAGCAGCTCTCAGATTCAGGGCACAGATCAAAGGGAGGTTGTTGTCAAATCCCAGTAGGGAATGAGCCAAGAGATAAGGAAAGGTCTAAAGTTTGAAGCCCAGGAGAACTTGGAGAAAATAAGAATAGGAATTGAAGCTGAAGTTCAGCAGACTACAAAGCACAAGAAAGAATGAGTTGGGTTGGAAAAGAGAACCTGAAAACAGCCTCAGAATAATGAACCTGAGTAAAAAGAGCATGTTACAGGGTTCAGATCCCCTGCCTGCCTCAGGGATAGACGTGGAGGGTGTAAATGATATTTTATTAGTTCTTATATCATCTCCCACACCACTAACCTAATGAATCAATTATACACAAAGCCAAAAAAGTACACACAACTTCATCTCAGTAAACGGCACCATTCTAGATCCCATTGTAGAAGACACTAGAAACACAGGTACATTTGGGGCTTATTCTTCAATATTCTATAAAATTCTTTTTCTTTTTTTTTTTTTGGTAGAAGTCATTGGCAACTAAGAATTTTTATGTATCACATATTAAAAGAGAGTCTAACTACCACTTCAGGGATTTTGGGTGACCAAAGCTTAACAATTATTCAAGGACTTGCTGTATTATGAAGGTAGTGCCTTCAAACGGTTAAAGGAGAAAAAGCTTTAAGGAGGGCTAGCACTGGAGCTGGGCTGTATCACTGCTGAGTGAACCGTGTTGGAGAACTCAGATATGATGGCACCACAGTCAAGGGGAAGACGTAAGACTAAGAGATCTCAGAGGGCAATTATAAACATTTGTGAAGACCTAACATGAATCATTTGTGGAATGTTTGGGCTTAAAAAATATAGAGAATTACAAATGGTCATTTAGAATAACTCAGATTTTAAGAAAAGATAGGACATTTATGGGATACTAAATGGCTTATGTCACAGTCTATAGATTTAAAATACATTATTACAATTTATAAAAATCCAAACATGTCTTTTAAATGCTTATATTTACATGTAATTTAATTCTATAAAAATGTTTCTTTCCAATATGAATTCAAGATTAAGACTGAATATCTTAAATATAAAATTTTAAAGGGCTTAGTCTATTTTAAAAGAGAGAGCATAGATAATATGAAACAAAATTCGCTTTCTCACCCAAAGTCATAAAGCGTGGATATCTGGAATTAAATAATCCATAATTCAATTATTTGGGATTTTTTACACTCTCTTAATCTCTTGATTTATTTTTATTTTTATTTACTTTTTTATTTATATATTTTTTGAGACAGAGTCTTGTCCTGTTTTCCAGGCTGGAGTGCAAGGTTGGATCTCAGCTCACTGCAACCCCTACCTCCCGGGTTCAAGCGATTCTCTTGCCTCAGCCTCTCAAGTAGCTGGGATTACAGGGGCCTGCCACTATGCCCAGCCAATTTTTGTAGTTTTAGTAGAGATGGGGCTTCACCACGTTGGCCAGGCTGGTTTCAAACTCCTGACTTCGTGATCCACCCGCCTCGGCCTCCCAAAGTGCTGTAATTACAGGGGTGAGTCACCACACCCAGCCCGATGTCTTGATTTTTTTTAACTTCCTGCATCATGCTCTCAGGCCTGCAAAAAGAGTTTTCTCATTTAACTTTTAGAAAGCTACCAGTTGATCTTTAAGTTTCTTTTATGCCTCATATTTATGAATCCATTATTCATAAAGATAGCAGCAATATATCACTTTTCCAGAAAGAAGCAAGAACTGGCAAGTAAGTAAAAAAGCCCTGTGAATAGTCAAAATGTGTGTCACACAGAACTTGCACATTACTCATGGGCTACCTCCTCTCAATTTTAGCAAACATATGAGCTGTTTTTCAGGGCTGGAAAATTTTAGCAGTTGAAAATGGAGATGAAGAGAAACGTTGCTTTGAAGATATATTTCAGTACTAAGAAGTAATGGACCCCAGAATAAAACTCAAACTAGCTAAATGGAAAACTCAGTTTGGAGAAAGAATTTTGCCTTTAATTATGCCAACTCTTTGGTCTGACCATATTTTGTTCAAATTCTTATTATCATATTTTCTTAAAATTTATATATTTTGATGAGTTTGCCTGAGAAATTATCCAAATAAATCTTCACTCTATTATCAGTAATTCTTTCAGCTTTCTATTATCAGTGTCAAGTTGCCTAGGGCATTTTTTTTTTTTTTTTTTACTTCTTATTTCATTTGTAATCAAAGCTTAAACAGATTAAAAGCAGTTGAAAGAATTTTAATGAAACGCTTCACAGAGGCATGAAGCTCTAATGGGAACCATTTATACTGAGTAGCTAGGATATTTCTCCCAGTGTCTAGCAGAACATCCACAGCTATTCCCTGAGAAGATATTAACAACTTTTAGGCATTTTATTAACTTTTAAAAGGTATTATACTTTAAATTGAGATTCTTTTTTAAGTTTATGAAGACTGGGGATCTTCAGAAAACAGAAAACATGCAAAAGAAAACGAATTGGGTTGCTAAGATATGTTGTAAGAAAGAAAAGCCCAGGATTTGAGGGTGGGACTCTTAATGAACAATGGAACATATGGTCCTTGTAAAAGTCAAACTAGAGCTTAAAGGAAACATCCTATCAGGGTTATATGGTTTGGATTTGTGTCCCTGACCAAATCCTCAGTGTTAGAGGTGGGGGCTGGTGGGAGGTGACTGGATCACAGGGGTGGATTTCTCATGAATGGTTTACCACCATGTCCTTGTTGCCGCTCTCACGATAGTGAGTTCTCAAATGATGTTGTCCTTTGAAAATGCATAGAAAATGTATAGTACCTTCCCTAACCTTGTTCTTGCTTTTGCTTTCGCCATTTGACTGCGAATTCCTGCTTGGCCTTGTGCCATGATCGTAAGCCCCCAGAGGCCTCCCCAAAGGCAGATGTCGGTGTTATGCTTCCTGTAGAGCTTGCAAAACCGTAAGCCAATTAAACCTCATTCTGATAAATTACGCAGACTCAAGTATTTATTTATAGCAATGCAAGAATAGCCCAATACACAAAGTAACCATTGCTTAGGGTAGCAATGGTGTCCAGCTGTAGGAGTGAGCTGCCTGGCAGAGAAGGGGAAAATTAGTTCTTTGAGAAACTGAGCTTCTCTTCTGGATAAAGAAGCAGTGGGCTCCCACAGGCATGTCAGAGGTAGACATGAATCAGGTAGAATTTCCTGATTCACCGTGGAGCAAACCTGTCTAGATGGCCTCCATTTGTGTTATTTAGTTTATGGGCCTTTCCATTTATTCTCAACTCCAAAGAGGTCTCAATGTGCGCAGGCTAAAGCAACTCCATCTTTGATGCTAATCCGCCATGTTGACTTCTGATCAACCCAATTCTGGGAATGCCTCTAAGATTTCCCATTTATCTATTATTCCTTGTTTAAGAGCAGGTACTTACCATAAATCCTGCCATTAGGTCAAAACAACCTTGATGCTATTGTGCTTCAGTTGTCCTACATATCCCTTCTAAATCACGTATGCCCTTTCCCTATGGTATATAAGTCCTGGGTCTGGAAGATAATGGTTCAGGGACTCACCTTGTCTTGCAACCTCCCCAGACACACAGATGGCTTCTGTTTATTAGTCCCTATTAAATGTTTCTTTCTAAATTCAACTTGCAGCCTCTTTCTTCGGCTTTTCAGCTTTCTCAGACTTTGGGGGGTATATTTGCATAAACCAGCACAGCACAAAACACATTAGTATCAGAAACTTATTTCAAAACACAGTTTTCATATTCTCATGTTTGAGTTGCCTTCTATAAGGGAAATAAGAGCTATCGGTTTCTTCAAGACTTCCATCTTTCTAGGCATCTGCTCAGCCACAGAGTTAGAATTAGGTTGTAGTTATAAGAAATGGTAGTAGCAACTTTTCAAAATTCTCTATACCTTAGCGTAATTCATTTCACAGAAGTAGGTTCGAAAATTCATATAGTATAAAATGGTACTATTTCTCTAAAACCTACTT